CCTCCTTGCTCAGTGAAGAGCATCTGCTGACAGGTGCAGGGGGAAGGCCACATCCCAAGGGGGGATGCTAATTCAGTTAAGTCAAAGGAAAATTTGCTATGGGCATGTCTAGGCTGCATTGAACAATGCATGGGGACACCGTGGTGGCAACAAGTCTCTCCCTCCTGCTCCATGCATGCCCTGAGCATCCTAGAATAGCCCCAGGTGTGCACCAAAAAGCAACTGCAGACCATTTGCTCGGCATATGAGGAGAGGCGGGGGGGGGGAGGGGGCTTGAGTGCTGTATAATACAGTATGGATGCAGCCCCTGTGACCAAGAGCTAGAGGTTGGGACAGGATTTGCAATATCACTCAACTCAACTCTGGGCCCATCAGTCCCTAACAAGACACCCAACTCCAGCTGTGGGCAGGAAGACAGGCCGGCATAGGGCATTTGGGAATATTGCACCTCCCAGGGCTTTGTAACAGGCTTTGGGGAAATGTCCAAACCAAGCACCGCTTATCATTCAGCCTGAAACATCTGGGGGCTGCTGGCTGGACTTCTGAAGGGCTTGCTGTTACAACACTGTCTGGTCACCGGTGACAGGTCCCTGCCTCGCCCATGCTCTGTTGGGCAAATCTGCCAGCCCCAATAATGATTCTTCCCCTGAGAGTGCCAAATTAGGTTACAATTGCAAGTGAAGTATGTTTGTGTCCATTTTACAGACAGGTTCAGTGAGTCACCCTAGGTGGGTCAAGCCAGCAGATCCATCACCCCAGATTTACAGTGCCCAGTCCCAGCAGTGCCTTGTCACCCAGCCATTCTGCCCTGGACATGGTGGACCGCATGGACTTTCCTTTCCTTCCTCCCCTAGATGTGAGCAGAGGGCCCTCCTGCTGGGAAGCACATCCATACCGTCCTCCCTGGAGTACAGGGTCGTCTTGCACATGGTTTCATTGTTAGAGCAGTTCCTGATCATCGTGCACGCGGATGTGGTGACTGGCTCGTGGCATGTGTAGCATGTCAGGGACTGAGCTGTAAAGAGGAACAAAGGGGGTATTGTCCGGACATGAGTCCACAGGTGCGGTGTCTGCCCCTCCACGCATCCCCTCTCAGAGAAACCTCTGCTGCTTATAGATATTTCTTTAGAGGACGTGATGCAGTAGCACATGGCAGCCCCTCCATGCCTAGCCTCCATCAATGCCTTCTCCCACCATATAGGCACTGCTTGTAAACTCCCTCCCACAACACACCGTTCCTGCCCGATTGTATAGGCAAAATTACATGCTACACTTAGATCGTACTAAATCTGTGCAAAAGAAGCAATGTAAAAGTGAGCAATCACACGTTCAGGGTTAATTAATACCACGTCTTGCCTGCATGGCTCTGACTTGCCACTACAGGGCTGGCAAACATGGGTGTAGCTAGGAGTCAAGGCACCTGGGCTCAGTCCCTGTTTGGCCAGCGGAGGGGGCGTTGCTGGAAACAATGCATCCTGGGATGCTGGAGGACTGCAAATTGCTCATTTCATTTCTATGGAGAAGACTGAAGTTACCATAGCATAAGCTAGGTGGCATAGCCCCAAGTTAGACTTTGCCTGAAGTGGTGCAATTTTGAGATGTCCAGAGGGCACTTAGAGTATGAGTTTGAATGTGCAGATGTTCACATTTGAAAGTGCCCTTAGTGTGGTCCACTTGCAACATGTAAATCACGCTATGTCAGAGAGGACATTTAATATCTTGACATGGCCTCACAGCTAACAAACTGCTCAGCGCCCAAACCCAAGAGGTCCTGATGCACAGTAGACCAACTAGCAGTGCAGTAAATGTCTGCCTGATGAAGGGCGCTTGTGCCCGAAAGGTTGCCAAGATGAATTTTTCCAGCTATTTTAGTGGGTCTAATAAAAGGTATCAGATTTACCCAAGGAATCTTGTCTGCCTATGTTCTTAGACCAACACAGCTACAACCTACACCCCCGTAAACATCATGCATCTACACGTGTGCCCCTATTAGCCTGGAGTAAACTAACTTACTGCACAGCAGCACAGGTGTAGACACCGGCTGGGGCACACGAGTGCTTTGGCGTGGTGGATGCCTGCCAGCTAGCCCCACACTGAAGTACCCTCATGCCCCAGCCAGCCCCTCCACAGGCAGGGAGGAGCAGCCCCGGGCCAGCAGACTTGTACATGTATATGCACCCAGTCTCTCCAATCTCAGGAGCCCAATTGCCATGCTAATGTGGGGCTCCTTTGATTTGTATGATCCATTAATTAGTCATTAGGTTCTAAAAAAAAGAACTACGCACTGAGTGCCCAGTGTAGAGGGCAAATTAGGTTACAACTGCTGGTGAAATATGTTTATGCCCATTTTACAGACAGGTTCACTGAGTCACCCAAGGTGAGTAAAGCCGGCAGAGCCAGAACTAAAACCAAGGCTCCAATCTATGTAATATTTCATTGTGTGAACAGAGCAGAGCAGGTGAGGTGGCAACACCCGTCACAGGCCTCTTTGTCCTGGGTTCAGAGGCCTGCTGAGAGGACAGTAGGGACCCCCACACCACAGGGGGGACCCTGATAGAGTGATCATGGAGTCCTAGCCCTCCGCACCCTCTGGAGAGGACTAGGCTGGGCTAAGGGAAGAGTCATACAGATTGGAGAGTCCCTGCAAAGGACCAGACCAGAAACCACACTACGTCTATGAGTCTCTGTCCATAGTTTCACAGTTGGTCGGGTCGGAAGGGACCTGAGCAGATCATCGAGTCTGACCCCCTGCCATGGCAGGAAAGAGTACTGGGGTCAAACGACCCCAGCAAGGTGTTCATCTAACCTCCTCTTAAAGCCCCCCAGGGTAGGAGCCAGCACCACTTCTCTTGGAAGTCGGGTCCAGATCCTAGCCGCCCTGACCGTGAAGTCGCGCCTCCTGATGTCCTTAACGCTGCAGCCCACATCTGTAAACAGCTGGATGTTTCGTGGTAGAGGGATGTGCTTGACTTCTCTATGGGGTTTTGAACAGCTGTGACCTGAGCACTCATCACCAACCAAGGGATTAAAACAGGGCAGTCAATAGGTAAAGCTGTCCCCAAAAAGTGAAACTTTGGTTGATCCAAAGTCACTAATGAATTCTGGTCGAGTTCACTTAACAACCTCCAGTCACAGGGAGAATCAGGGCTCCATTGACAAAGCTGGATGGAGAGAGCTTCCCTCCCCCCCTTCATCCAAGCTGCTATTTCCAAATCCAACTCTTCCTGTGCCTGGTAGCAGGAGGCAGGACACCTGGCCCAGGGCTGTGGCTCCTAGCAGGCACCAGGGTGGCAAGAGTTGTGCGTTGCAATGGCTCGAGCACAAGTCCTCTCGATGATTCAGCCATCTCTTACCAGCTGAGACATGCTAGATGAAATCCTCTCCTTTGGATCTGCAATTTATAGGATCTTTTTTTTTCCATTTTCCAGCACGCAGCTAACAGGACTGGTCAGACCATTGGGCCAGGCCCCTGTATTAGGGAAACCTTTGCTAGCAGCCAGAGTCTTGAGTTCCTTAAACCCATCTTGTACACCCAAACATCACATGCAGGCAGCGTTAAAATCTCTTTTAGATGCTTAGATCAGCTACACGGAGGTCACCAGTGCAGGAATCATTTAAGTGGGTAACCGGCTCCAAAGGCCTGATGCTATTTCCTACCAGGTCATTTTACACCTTTTTGTATTAGCAGAGATGGAAGGAGGCTTTAGTTATCAGTGAGAATCAGCCCTTTGCACTTGTGCACAGCAAGGGCTGGTTTTAGGTTGTTCTTTTTCCCTTTGCTGAACATCTTGTCAGCATTTGCCAGTGATAGCATAGCTGTATAAGTTACTATTATACAGAGGGAGAGCTGCGCTGGGATATTTCATTCACGTAAACTAAAATAAAATAAATAAATGAGTCAATTAAAAAGAAACAAACTTTTAAAATGCAACATCAATGTTAAATCATAAATTAGTCTTCCCATTTGGGAGAAAAATCCATGGCAAAATAGGTTATTGCCTATGAGAGCTCATGTATCCCTGAACTGGTTAATCTCCATGGTGCCAGTTTTCTGTTTGGGAGGAGCTCTGGTTAGTTATGCCCTAGCAAACCCTGCTGCACTTTCTAAGCACCTAAAAGAGATTTTAATGCTGCATGCAGAAAGTAAACTTCCTGAACTGCAATAGAAGAGGAGCAGGGAGTGGAAAAAACCTGGCCATACCCAGTGTACCACCCCCCCCCCCCCCCCCACCCCCCCTTTTCCCCCCCCCCCCGCCCCTCGGGCCCCGCCCGGTCCCCCCCCA